TTTTTTTTTTAACCACACTATAACTGTTTGAAGTTTGTGACAATTACAGTGTAAACACACAGAAACTAACAATGATTAAAGGTCAACAGCCGTAACCAAGTAAAGTTTTTCTTTGGTCACTGGACCGAATGTTTTAGCTTGACTCAGTTCAAACAAAAGACAAACAAAACTGTTTGATATATATCAGCAAAGTCACAGTCAAGAAGATTCAAATATTTACAGGATCGAGGACGTGCAAATCTGAAACAAATGTAGAGTAACAAATGAAGAGCTATAATTTCAAGATTTTATGGCCGATGTTGAAGTTTAATGAGATGCAGCGGTGACTAGAAGAGGGAAAAACAGCAGTGAACACAGCACTCACCATTGTCTGAAGACTGGCAGTTTTTTACTGAATGGATAAATCGCTGCACCACCTCCAGTAATGTCCTTCTATGGGAACACTGCACAGAGAGAGAAACAGATGTGATTATGGACTTAGTTGTGTTAAAAACAAAACAAAAACATAAAAATCCAGATGTTAATAAAAGAAAACAGGGTCTAGAGTTCTCATACAACACATTCTCTCTACTCTACCCATACTTAAATAGCCAAAACCGTAGCTCATATTAAACCAGTTAAACATGTGGACATCAGCTGTCTCTATTACCTGTGCTCTGTTGTTATATTGCTCAAGTAGAGATGGCATGACAGCAGCTGTAATGATGTGACTCGCACTAGTGGAGGCGCTGCAGGCGGCTTGGAGGAGCTTTGCGCTCGGCCATACAAGCTTTAAGTCTGGTTCACACAGGTGATGTTTGCAGTCTGAAAAAAGCAAAACACAGTACAACACAAGACCCATGAATGTCTCAGAGACTCATTGTTTAAAACTACATTTAACAATAAATACTGATTTCTTCCAAAGAACTGCTGACAATTACAGTGTGTTTACGTTGACTCTATAGACTGTAAATAAAAGATGGACCCAGTAACTGTGACATCACCCTCAGTTTTTTGGGCTCCTCATTATAAAGCCTCAACATTAGCAATTTTGGTCACTGCACTGTTGTTTTTTCTGCAGCTAAAAGTGTTTAGTATTTAGGCAAGAGGGGGTTGCTAAGTTATTAGCTAATGCTAAGTCTAAAAAGCTTACAAAGGCCTGGCAGAGAACCCCTGGCTACAGCTATCTGTGTAGACATCTGTCAGTCAGAGAGGCCACGACCCTAACTTTACAACAGTATCCAAATATATCTGCTGTATTTAAAAAGCAGCGGGTAGAACACTTTCTAACAGGCTGTAAAAATGCATTTTCATGGTGTCATGTTGGGAATTTTAACACTGAAGTCAGCCTCAGGGGGCCTTGAGAAGTACCAATTTTTCCATAGCAAGCGATTGTTGCCATAGGAGTTGGGATCTAGGCCTTTGTGACAGGGCCCTAAGACTCAAATATTGTGTTTTCAACCCACCTGTACAATCAATCTGTTAGTCAGCAAACATGATATATTAGGTTATGAAAAAGTTGTGGGTTAACTTTCAGATAACCACCGTGGTATACACAGTATAAAAAAAAGTTTCCTGCCAACTTCCTCCCCAGTGTACTGTACTACATAGTGCCATATTCCTGCTCATCAGTATATAGAATTTCATTTCTATCTTTCTTTTAGAACAAATGTACCTTTTTTCATATTTTCATGCATGCATAACAAAGCTGCATTTTACCTGTGAGAATGAAATCCAGGAATGTGCTGAGGGAGTCCTCAGAGTCAGAGCTGAGGACTGAGCGAGACAGACAGGAAGTGAGTGCGGTAAGAGCAGCGAGGCCTGCAGACTCAATCCTCTCGCTGGAGGTTTGAAACACCTGCAACGACACAACAAGCACAACTTAACTTGACTCTGCTGTTGTTAGTTAAACATCAGTGAGGTCTTCATTCGCTTAATGCTACAAAAGAAACCTAGTATTTGGTGTTTCAAAAAGCACTACTGGCCTTAAATGTGCCTATGTTTTTTTTATGAGGGTGGAGTGGGTCAGAACGAGCTAAAAACAGAAATTAAAATCACACCACACCAAAGAAAGACCAGCTACAAGATATTAAAATATGTCTTAACAGAGCCAAGGCACAAAATACACAAGTACTACTGCTATTTACATTTAAAAACTGATCTCAAACAGACCTCTCTGCGTACTGCTGTCCACAGTCCCTGCAGGAATTCAGCCACATGCTTGTGTTCATACTGTGACACACAAGCAGCCTGAAAATGTAAAAATAATCACAAGTTATCTGCATGACTCTCTGCGCTGGACCACTTGTGACAAACGACTCTGCTGCTTAAGGGAATCGTGAGCTGTGCATCATTCACCTTTACTCATGCATACTCTGTGCAGCTGACAGTCAAATGTTTATATCTGAACTGTAAGCTCCTGTTTTAGCTGGAGGCACACAACATTTTTAGAGACGAGTTTCTCACCAGAGTCTGCAGCGAGTCCAGCTTTGCGCTCTGAACGTCTGAGTCCAGCTTCTCGATGAGGAGAGGTAACAGAAACTGTAAGATAGCAATAAATATTAGCGCAGAGGCCCTTCGTTTAGTTTGCTTAGGAGGAAAAGCTCCAAAACAGAAAAAGTGAATCACATTTGAAAAAAAACATAAATAAATAATACTTTCGTTCACCTCTGCAAAATTTGGAGTCCCAGTAAGGACGGCCCTCAGAGCCTGAACCAGTTCCTCCCTGGTGATGCCATGTGGGTCATTAGGAGGCTGAAGTGAGAAGAGATTTAAGAAGTCTATTAAAACATGCAGAACCCTACAAACATTCACAGATAATGAAAAGTACATCACGCCCCCTCCCAGTTTCCTGTCCCTCTTCACTGCGCTATCAAATAATGAATATAAAGACTCCAATGTATATATGAAAGATGTCTCTTTTGTTATACAAGCACCAAGGTGAGTGTCGATATTTCTGACAAACACAAATATATAAATGCAGAAAGACTCGTGCTATTGCAGACTTGCTCTCACAATATAGCCTCTGTTTGCATTTCATTTAATACCTGAAATAATACAATAAAAATGTAATCTCAAAGACCACTGATCAGTCATTATCAACTGGCAACCAATCGTGAAGCAAAAATGCTGCCCAAAATTCACAGGGTTAAACTTTAGATCTCTGTCTTATACTTTACATCACATATTTATTTATTACACGTTGTTGTCACATGTATCCCAGTTTGGCCTAAAAGGAGTTCTAACATCAGTGTTAATTTCCTCAACCAATAATTCTAATGAGGTTGTTGATGCATTCGCTTTCATCAACACCCCCACCCCCCCCCACACACACACAAAAAATGCACAAGGACAAAAACACTACAGTTTAACGCATCAACATGTTCATTAACGAATAAAAATGAAATGAGTTGTAAACAACTCTCAGTGGCAGAAACAAACTTTTACACTTAAAATTTTTGTCCTTTCACCTTTAGATTTAGTCTATGATAACATTACAACATTTAGCTGATAAAAACTTAGGAAATTTAGACGCCTAAATTATGAATGAAACTAAATGATGTTTTAGTCAGAAGATTAAGATTCAAGCTAAATCAAAATTTGCTGTGAAAACGAAAACTTTGTAACATGTTATGGTTTAAAATGGTCGCTAATTAGTGAATCAGTGAATATAATCATTATTAAATATAAACTATGACTATCATAGCATGCTCATATAGATCAATGCAAATGTATAATAATAGATTTTCTAAATGATCCAATCTGTCGACTGATGTGTTGGGATATATTGTCTAAAGTGTTCATAAACTAATGCTGATCCTGCACTGGTTCCTGTTTCCTCTTCAGTTTAGACTGATGAGGGATGCTGGCCTTGAATGCTTAATAATACACATGGTTAAATATGCCCGTTCTTATACTTTACATGATGTTTTACGTCACATACACAACAAGCTTTGCGCCCATGTGCTGCTTTGCTCCAGAGAGACCTGTGATGCTCTGTGACATTGAGCTCAGACAGCCTCAGAGTCTGTCTGAGGTCACAGGAAGTCAGTGATGACATTTATGTCTGCTACACTCAGTTCTCGGTCCAAACCAGCTGAGTAAACAGGGACTTACTGGGGAGAAGTCGATTGGGAAATAGCAGGACGTCACTTCAAACAGTTCCTCTGTGAATTTACCTGAGACAGCAGATGGGAAATGAATGGGAGTTACAGTTTGATCACTGTGGCAGAAAAAAGGTGAGCTGCAGGTCAGAGACGCCCAGAAATACAGAAGAGGTGACGGTGAGGAGAAATTATGGTGTTCTCACCGAGCTCATAGCCTCTGTGAATAAGGTTTTTGGCAATCTGAAAGGCCAACAAGAGGTTGCGAGGATCTCGCTCCCCGTCCATGGACTGCACAAAACCGAAGACAAAGTCGGCACCCAAACCCTTAAGTTCTGTGGGAAAACGAAGCAGGGACACATCATGTGGAGAAAAAAAAAAAAAGAGTTTTGCAACACAACTGAGACAAACACTGGTTCACACAATGACTAACAGTGGCTTGCGTGAGAGTGCCACGATAAAGGAACTATACAACCAACCATCTCTTCCTCAAAACTAGGAAAGCTGGTGAGGGTGTATCGGTGAAGCTTACAACCATCTCGAGGTGGGGATGATTATTGATTATTATTTTGGCATGAAGAGCAAAAATAAAACGCAAGATTAATTTTCTTATGTGAAGTTAAAATATTAAAATGGAAGGAACAAGTAACAGCAGCTAAAAAACACATTGGTACTAAGGGGATTTATCAGTTTTCTAATGATTGCATCTTCTTTTCAATCATTCACTTCCTCTTATTTAACCCACACACACACACACACACACACACACACAACACACACAGCTCCTGAAGCAGCTGTATGACACTGTTTCATTCCCTAAGTCAGAGGGCAGATATCAAAGCTCATATCAGAGCCAGAAATCCCAGCAAGATTCATTCATGTTTACTTTGATAAATCAGTCTTTGATGACTCGGTTTGAATTGTGATCAGTCATGTTGATTATCATCATATTGGAGATGAAGAAGAGTGTAATGATTTTAAAGACTCTGACAGTGTTCTTAATATAGTTTAAAACAGAGTCATTAAATGCATTTCAGGGTGCTGCACATCCACAAATCACCTACAATCAGCCTTACTGGATCTGATTAATATCACCAGTTTGTAATTAAACTGTTGTATCTACAGTTGCTGTAACCTGCATGCTGTACCTGTCAGGTTACAGCTGAATAACGAAGATTTGCAACTAATTTAAAATCTGTTTAGATCCCAGCTGTTTTTTTAATATATAACAATGAAATGATTCTGTGTAAATGAGTAAACATCTCTGCTAAAAAAAAATTCATTTTTCCCCTCTTCTGTTTGTTAATACAAACAACGCAATCAAACATGATCCACAGAATTAAACAGGAGGGTCTTGCCCGTTGCCACGGTGAACATGGTCTGGAACCAAACATTTAAAGTTTGTTAAATCTGCTTTCTGGAACAAAGCCCGGGTCACAGTACCATCCCTCCTGTAAGCGTTTCCATCTTAACAGCTGGTAGCTAAACACAACTATTCCACTGTCAGCCCTCCATTTTCATTTTTTACAATATGGCTGTTATCCTAAAATATTAACCAAACAGAGGACAGCATGTCAGCGCCTTCCATTACTGCTGTGAGATTGTCCGACTTTTAAAACTCGTGCTCAATTCTTAAATCACCGGTTATTTCAACATGACCTGCTTCCTTCCACAGAGCTTTCTGTCTCTGTTAACTGAGGTTTTGTGAATCAAACCATAATCTCTTACCCGCCTCTCTGGTCTCCATGATGTTGATAAGCATGCTGTAAACACATGCTCTCTCTGACAGCATCAGAGACTGCAGGGGAAATAAATACATTTGTTATTAGTAGGAACAGTTTTAGATGAGTCAGTTTTACCAGCAAAAACAATAACAGAGAGGAAACAAGAACATCTAACAAGTGTGGCAAGATGTTTCCGACAGTGTGCTACATTAGGTTTTAAATGCATTACTTTCGGAAAAATCAAACACTGCAAAACTAGGAAAAGTCACAAAATGTCCACTAAAGTCAGAAAAAACAACTCAGACAGTGGAACTGTTGACATCATATGTGGAATGTAAAATGTAAATTGTTTGGTTAATCATAATAAATTCTTTGATTAATGGTGCAAACTCGTGCACTGCAAATTGCTTAAATGTAAATTTGAACATTAGCATAACCCTCCAAGTACAGTGACCTAGATTAGTTATAGATGTTAGGTGAGTTATTTATAAGCAACAACTTCATCTTGACAATAATTTTGGTTAAGTAAAGTACACCATGCGGTCTTTGTAAAATCCATGTTCTCTTCAATTCCCATTTTAAAGAACACAAAGACAACAAAGCTCACAACTAAGTATTAAAACTATGAAATTATGTAGGTAAAAATCAATCCAGCACTGTCATTATTCCTCACAATAACACTTTAAATGTACAACAATATGACAGTCTCACCTGTACGTGGATGTCCTGGAACACTGACCTCAACATGGACACAGCTGAGCCAGGAGGCAGGTTTGTACACTTTGTCTGAATTTGGGGGGGGGGGGGTGTACATTAACAAAACAGTAAGAGGAAATCCACAACCTTGCTCACATCTGGAGCTTCTCAAAAAAAGTCCCCCAGCCTGAAATAAACTTGCAAATTTGAGCAGAAACTAAATGTTATCAAAGAACGACTAACCAGCTCCTTTAGCCCCTTTAAGACGGGAGGTGTGACGACATAATGATCCTTCAGACGGTTTTCATAGAAGGCAATAAGCACTTCCACTGCGGAGAAGAACAGTAAGAAATGCTGAGTGCTGATCGCCCCTTGACATGAATAAGCGTCATCATAATCGACATCTATGAATATAAAATGTAGTTATTTGAGTGCATTTTTGATTTGTCACTTTGCAAGAAGCTGTGCAATGCCGGCACAGTATATGGAAGGAGAAAGGTGTACCTTCTCTCTCTGTAAGCTCTCTATAGCACTCCTGCAAAACCTCAGAGAGCAGAAGGACTCCTCGGGCTCGAGTGTGAGGCTGAGAACTGGTCAGACTGGACCTTGAACAGGAAAGGTAATGAAGATGGAAGTTGATATTAGATAGGAATATAATTACAAACTCTGGCTGGTTCGGGCTGATATTTTCCCCTGACATGACGATGAACACAGCTTACCCCAGTGCTTCCACCAGCTGCAGAACTGTAAACTTCCCGTCTTTGACACCTGAACAAAACAAACAAACAAACAAACAAATAAGTTTATTAATAATAATAATAATAAGTTTAGTGAAGTGAAGTGATGAGCTACAGCAATGCAAGTACACGCATGCTCTAACTCTAGTAGTTGTACCAGGTTATAATTCAAAGGTAACGCCACAGGGTCATTGACAGGCTACCTTACACAAACACAGCAGCTAGCAACCAGCATGTGCTTTAACCACTACGGACTAGCATCAAATTAAGAGTCCTTGTGAAGTGGCAATGTGTTCAAACTCGATGTATACATTCAGTGTGTGCATTTACATCGACAAAATTAGCAAATATATTTTCACGGCGAATGCTTACTCTTTATCTTGCGGTTATAACACTACACAGGATGTTGTGGCGCTAAGTTAGCTAGTTAACCATCACGTCTCGCTGCGCATCCTCGGAGAGCAGCTCTACAGCCTCTCCGGTGTTACTCTTATGAAAAATGCACTGTAAATGTCACCGGCAAACCGAGACAAAAGCCTTTTACCTTTTGCTGCATCTTTGGCCTTGCTGTCCTGCAGTCCAGACACAAATTCCTCCACCAGAGACAGCGCCAAGGTACTGTCCGCAGCCATCGTGTCCCTGTAACTACTTCACTGGCACTACGCATGCGCGAAAACTTTAGGTGAATCGCGAAAAGCGATTGGTTTTAGATTATATCTGATAAAAATAAAACTGTTAAAAACAGTATAATATTATTTCCACACGTTTTTCATATTTATAGAAATGGTGGAAGAAAATCTTCAATATTATTTTTCCTTTAATGCTGCATTCAAGTACTGTCCGAACAATGCATTACAAATACTAGAACTAGTACGTCCTCTCCCTTCCACTAAAGTTTTGCTTTTCAAGAGGTTCCAATTAATTACTACCAGTATAATTTCAAGTAAGAGTATTGACATTAGAAGAACGTGTAGCTGTTATATGATAACTCCGCTGTACAAATTAATTTGCGGACTCCTCCGTTGATAATTGCGTCAAGTCCCGACGCAATAGAAACCAACACCTGGCTGGATGCTTTTGCGCAAGCGTAAAGAAAAAAGTTCGGCGGCGCTAGCAGACTGCCGCTGGTCACCTTTCACCAGCGAAGTAGGGAGAATTTTTTTAGGGGGGCTATTTAAAGAAAACACTGTACCCAGCTCGTCAAAGAACTGAAGTACTCCTTCGTACGGCGGACAGAGGGAGACTGTAGTGACCCGCTAAGTTTGTCAGAGACGGAAGATGCGGGGAAATGATATCGTGCGCGCGGAAGTTTGTGTTTACTTACGCCGCGGTAGCTAGCGTGTTGGCCCTGTTAGCCTGTTAGCGAGAAAGGTGCGCTGTGTCTGGACGGGTTAATAGCAACACTTACAAGTCAGCCCAGCTACGTTAAACAGTAGAAACATACTGTATATATCCTGAAGCTAACAACGAGCTGGTGGCAGATGCTGGGGATTGCTCAAACTCTTGAAACATCGGTGCGGGCCACGAGCCGTGAACTCTGCGTGCGCGTGTCAACACGCAGGCAGAAGTTATTTACAAAGAGGGCACTTTAAGCCCTAATCTCAAACGTATAGACCTGCAAAACGTGATTTAAATATTAACTGCCGCCCTCAGTGCGGTTACGAATGACATATCAGGCTTGCGTCCGTGTGCGTGCAAATCATCCTCCTCATCGGACCTAGTACATCGTCCTCGTCCGCAATGTTTAGCCAGTGAGACCTGTAAAAGCGATCTGGAGCCCGTTAGCCATGGGGGGATGTATGGGCAGATACTTAGAAGGCTGGGAAGACTCGCAGAGTCGGGGCTCCTCCAGGAACGGTGGACGAGGAGGTAAGGCAACATTGTGTGGATGTTGTATTAATATGCGGAGAGGTTTCTTTGAAATATAAGAGCTGGAAACTTAAAGTCATACAGCAACAGTGTCTCTGTCCGTTGATGATCAGTGATGCCAAAAAAAGAGAAATATTTCGGCGTTGATAGTTTTGTGTCGCTACAACAATAGCAGGTTCAGACTTATCTGAGAGTGCATTTCTGGCCACCACTTGTGATTCGCATCCTTTTTTTGTGTCGTGGCTGCTGTTAAACAGAGGTCGATACCTCTGTTTAAAAGCAGCCACGAGAGGGCAGGTGCACGAAATCTTCATTCACGATTCCTCACACACATGAGGAAACTGGATTCTGCTGTAGCTGTCTGACTTTGATGTGTGCCTCTTCTGTATCAGTAAAAAAGGGCTTGATTCTTTAGCTTTGACGAGGTAGTTTTTCATCTTATCAGTTCAGACTGGTGAAGCTGTATATTCAGATATTCAGATAACATCTGTGCCAAAGTTGATGACAGTAAGCTCGTTGGGTGATTTTCGTATATTAAAATCTAGGGCGTAAGCTCTGTGTTGTGGTTACTGTAACAGCCAGCTATGTTACATTAATTCCAGAAGTTGCTCTCTTTTCACATCAGTTCATGTCTGTTGGTTACGGACTTTCCTGGAAGTTAACATAATAATAAACTGCTACTTTTTTAACCAAACTAAAGTTAACCATCAACACACAGGCGCAGTGCAGATGAATTATTAGACACTGGGAACTTCTACTTTTCCAGAAAACAATGGTGATTATATTTTGTGTGACCTTGTTATGATACAGTCATTATTGGGAGATTAGAGCTTTACAGCCTGGCAGGTTCATGAATGGGGGTCTTTTCCCATCCCAAACACTTTGGGATGGGAAAAGACTTTCTAGCTTTTTCAGATTTCTGTCATATTGCTTTAAAAGCATGCTCGGTTGTGTGACTACAGTGCAAGCACACTTGAGCTCAGTGTTTGCCTTAGAGTGGCTGCTCAGGAAACTAAATGTCTGTTATTCATTTGGATGCAGGTTCTGTCCCCTTGATTTGTTACTGCTGGAAAGTTTTTCAGTCCGCCTTTTTCCAGTGGGAATTGTCTCCAGTTTGCATCAGAAAGATGGGAGGTTTTGAAGATGGAGTCCAACTTTCGCCATATAAAAAAGGGCGTTGTTTGAATAGACTTTCTGACCCCTGCTTATAGAGTTGCATCCTTAAATTAGACTCTAACATAGATTTTTGATGCCAATATGACCTTCAAAGTAAGTTTCTTTGTCGTGTGCCAGAGTAGCTATTTAAAGTTAAAGCTGTCAGAGCCAAGATACCCAAGCTTTCTGGCAGTGGCTCATGTTGATTTCCCAACTTGATTAGACTCAACACGCTCCCTTTGCTAGACAAGGCTTCGATCAAGAACAAGTCACATCATGCCCCGCTGTATCAGTGACTGAGACTGATACTGACTGTAACTCTGTTACATACATGCTCATAAAGAAACCCCATTTGATATATGGGATCTCAATTTTTTCGCTTGTTCCAATTTTGTTTGGATGAGAGCTCAATAATTTGTGTTACTATGTTCGTGTTAGGTCTGCCTACCACACGCTTAAAGGAACAAAAAGGAGGCTCGTTTGCATTGTGATGCTGAAAAAAATAATGGAAGAACATGTTTGGACTTTAAATAAAGATCTGCAGAAACCCGTTTTAAAATAGTAACGCATTTAGAAGCAGCATGGATGTAACTGAAAGGTGATTAGAAATGCACAATTTCCAGTTTATTTTAAATATTGATTTTTAAAAAGTCAAATATCAATCAGGCTATAAGAGTATAGAAAACCTGCTGAATATATATTCACAAGGTTCGCTTGCTAGTTTTGTAAATCACCTAATAATAACGGTAGACTGATTAACCATGATAGTGTCAAAGCTCTCAATGATTAGGATCTCAAGAATCAACAAAACAATTCACTGGAAAGTAAGCTGAACTGTAAATGAAAGTGAAACCTGCCCGTTCCAAGGTGGTCTATCTATTTTGAATGTAATTGCTTTAGAAAACAGCTTGATTAAGGAGAAACACATTGTTTTAGTTGACAATGTCTATGTTGTCGTTGTTGTGTTTTTGTTTTTTTAAGCATCTCTGTAACAGTGGTTTACAATTTCAGTAAAAAGCAAATATAGATCAAACCTCAAACCAGCCTTCCCATGAGTGGCTCTCAGCACTGTCTGTATCCAGCTGTCTCAGACTAACCAGAAATCAGCTGGGCTGTTGTATTGTCACGTCTAGGCTGGATTCTGACCTGGAGGCGTTCAAGTCATATTTTCACTTTATTGGCTCGTCTCGTACCGAGCAGGGTTACTGCTACACCAACACATCATCGCTCTGGTTGAACCAAACCCATTTCACAGCTGTCTCAAGCACATTCCCATTTAAAGGGTGACCGCTATTAGAGTGATCAATCCAGCATAAACGACATAAACATACACATGGACAGAAGTAATGGGCCACACCTCTTAATCTTTGAATGCAGGCTTAGTCACAACGTATATAATCAGTCACATAGTCGTGCCGTCTGCCTTTACAAACAGTTGTGTAAGAATGAGTCGCTCAAAAGAGCTCACTTAATAAGAGGATGATATTATAATAGGATGCCACCATTGTGACAAGACAGTTCATGAAGCCTCTTTCCTCCAAAATATTCCACGATCGACTTTATGTGATCTTTTTGCAAAGTGGAAAGACAGCTGCTCAGCCAACTAAAGTTAATGAGTGGGGTCCTTCTCTGGTTTTAACATCAGCACAAAAACAGTACACCGGGAACTACAAGGTATGGCACAGCTGAGCAGTTTGTGTTACATGTGGGTGTCCCAGTACTTCTGGCCTTACAGTTTACAGTACATGCTTGGGCTTGATTTCTTATTGGATTTATGATTATCTTGTTTTTATGTTTGCTGAGTGCCCAAATTATAATTGGAAAAACAAAAATAATTACCCAGTCTATTAAGATTAATTAGTTTTGCTCAGAGTTTGCTGAAAATATTCTATAAAATATTATAGTTGCTTCAGGGATCATTTTCAGATTACAGAGACTCATTGTATCTTTAGTGTAGTGTAAACATCGGTTTGACAAGGAAAAGATCCCCCAGATCCATCCTGGGAGGAGACATGAATCCCTTTGGAGTTGTGTCATCAAGGGCATCCAGCATAAAAACCTGTCAAATCAAACACGCAGAACAACCCGCTGTGACGACCCCCTGTGAATAAGGGAGCAGTTGAAAGTAGCTTGTAGAGGCTGACTGTATCTTTAGCTGCAGAAAGGTGAAGGAAACAAAGTGGTGATAAGATAAGCAGTTACAGCACGTGAGTGAGTGTGCGCCAGTACGTCCTCATATTGATTTGGTCAGTGGCAATTCAGTCAGTGTCATCTGGCAGCGGTGTTATCTTTGTTGCTCTTTAAAGGAAGACCGTGGACAACCATACCTTCCCCCCTGATAGTTTGCCTCATTTCAAGGGAATGTGTGCAGCTGTTAAATGTCTGGTTCAAAGCAACATCTTGGTAAAGTAAAGCATTTGTTCCTAGCGTTAGGTAATCTTCATCAGCCACCTGTAGTTACTGGGTGTGCTGTTTTTGCAGCACAAGGAAGCCTTGTTGCTGTTTCTGGTTTATGAGGCATTTCACCGAGTCTCATAAATAGTTCAACCTCATAACGTGACGCTTGCTTCTCTGAGCCCATCATGATGAACAACACCTTGATATTGCTTCATGTGTCTGTAATGTGTTGCTTCCTGTTGTTTTGGGTTTTTTTTAAGACACACACACACACACACATCCCCATAAATTTTATTTCTGTCACTCGCGCTCTCTCACCGTACTGCAGTTTCAGCAGTATTCTCCTATAATGTGAACATTTTTGCACGCGGTCACACTCCCTATTCTTTTTCTATATAGTTTAGCTCACTGTTTCTAAGTACAGACACAGTGACACTGATTCATAGGAGTGTACTGCAGCACTGCTGTTTGCCTGCATGTATCAACCCATCCCCTCTTCTGATGAATTTTGTTAATATTCAAACTTTAAACTCCTGAGCATCTCAGTGGAAGATGAAGAGGATTAACCAGTATGAGGCCAAAGTCTCTGTTACCTTATTTGACCCAAATAAAAAAAAGCTTAATGACTAAGAAATTATATGTGCACTACACTGCTCACATAATGTTGAGGTCCGGGCTTTGTGAAGGATGGTCTGTGACCGATAGTGTTACACGTACATATTTCCTACCCAGGTATGCTTTTACTGCATTGATAGTGTTTTTGAGATCATTGTCATGCTGAAAAATGCCAACTGTGAATCAATACCATGCAGTACCATTTGGAAAGAGATGGCACTGCTTGGCAGATTATACCCTAATGGTACTTTCCTGTGTTCATAATTCCGTTAGTTTTGAGAAGATCTCCAGCATCACTGACTAAGGGGCAGTAGACTGCTTTAGACCAGGGGTAGGCATCTCCAGGCCTCGAGGGCCGGTGTCCTGCAGGTTTTAGATCTCACCCTGGGTCAACACACCTGAATCAAATGATTAGTTCATTACCAGGCTTCTGGAAAACTTCAAGACATGTTGAGGAGGTAATTTAACCATTTAAATCAGCTGTGTTGGATCAAGGACACATCAAAAACCTGCAGGACATCGGCCCTTGAAGCCTGGAGTTGCCCACCCCTGCTGTAGACATTGCCCTTTGCACCTCATCTGTACTTACTGATAACACTTTGAACCAAAAATCTCATATCTGGATTCATCCAGCAAAGCCCTTTGCCAAGTCTTTGCTGGATTGTCTGCTATTATTCTTAAGAACATGACTTTTAGACACTTAATTTGCTGTAGATGACATTCAAGGCCACTCCATTTATCTTTGGTCCTCCACCTGTCAGGTTTCCTCTTTAGGAATCAACTTTTAGGGCAACATTACAATGCTGCGCCTGCCAGAATGTGTAGTCTTTGGCATTGTTCATAGATTCAGCAAAAGAAATGGGTATTTCGTGCTTTGGTGACAGGCTGCTAGTAACAAAGTGCCTAAAGAAGCCATTCACAATTGTCTCTTTTCTAAGTTGCCTGTTAGGCACAAAACTGGTTCATTCCTTGAGTTAGAAGCCTTTTTAATGTTTGAATGCTTTATAGGTCGTTGTTAAATGGCTTAACAAGCAAACAGAAAAGGAGTAGGGTCCAAAGAAAACCTTCGCAAGACCTTCAGAAAGCCGGGAGAACTATTGCTCAAGATCCCATTAAAAATTACAAGTTTGGTTTCTTGGAAGCAAAATATAAAGAAATAAGGGCTGGCTCAAGACTTTAGAACAGCCCTGTACTAACCAATAGATATAAATGCAGAATAAAGTGACACAGACTGTAGGGAGGAAAAAAACAGTTTGCAATAGCTGTAGGCAAAACTTGAAAAGAAGACATTTAAATAGTTGTTGTTGTTGTAATACAAGCCTCTTTTGTATGACGCGTTTTGCAAGTGTTACGTCACGTTGCCTCGGCAGAATGGAAACAGATAGTTGAGGATTTACAGCATGTGTTTCATCTTAGAAATGAGGAGGTCTTTATGGTGCACCCAAGTTTTATAGAGCCATGTTGCACAATGGAGTTTTCAATGAGCTCATGAGAGTTTGGAATCTCATAGTGCCTTTAATGTATGCAGTGTTTATTACTGATGCAATAAGCTTCTAAGAGCCAGCATGTTCCATGTTAAGGGCTATGAGCTACAAAATAGGAGCAGGTGGACCTGTCGGTAGCTTTTCTGAGCGGAGTGATCTGTAAACAGAGCATATAAAGACAGTGGCGGCACTATTGTAGTAATAATGCATGTGTTTTTGTTTTTTTAAGTACCATTATAGATGCTTTAAAAACACTTTTAAACAACAGAGGCCAGTGTCTTTAACTGCAGAAAGCTGAATGATATAGTGTGGTGATAAGATGACTGACTACAAGGTTGAGCCCACTTGGGTGTCCTGTACACTGTGTACGTGCTGATTTGGAATACGTCCACGTTGACATAACTGCAATATGTCTGTCTATAGCTCACGAATGTCAAACACATCTTCACATCATGGGCCACATACAGCCTAATCAGACCAGTGATACTCCTTTCTGTCAGTATACAGAAGTTTAACCATACATTGAATCCCTCAGATATCTTCATATTAAGGAAAGAAGTACTACAAACTTTCTTCATCATGGAGAAAAACTCACTTACTTTTGAAATTGTAAGTTAAAGAAATCTGTCACCATGTCTCTGTGGAACCAATTTGTACATATTAGGTGTGTAAAATTACAGAAAAAATGGTTGTTACTCTGTAATAATATAACATTTTTTAACCAGGACCCATAAATACATTTTTTTTAAAAAAAGCAAAAAGAAAAAACATTTGTGTTGTAGGTAGTGAAAAAAATCTACTTTTCTGCCATTTCATTCTGTATGAATTACTTATTTACCCGGTGTAGTATATATTGCCATGGAGGTTTTCATCAGTAATGCTATAAAATTTATGAAAATAAAGCTAAAACTAGGGATGTTCCTAGTGACTAATTTCTTAGCGTACTTCCCCCTTCATTTAGTCAACTAACTAACTATTCTAAAATGAAGAAACAAGTTAAATTTGTCAAAAACTCTCTACACAAAGGCATTTTAAGCATTTAACACATTCTTTAATCAATCATGTTGCTTTACTGTGCAGCACCTTGGTTATGAGCATTATGAGCATTTCATGTTCTCCAGAAAAACACTTCTTCACCTGTTGAAAATGTGACAAATTATCATCAGAAAAACAAATAAACTGTGACTGAAAAGTGTGGCACATTGTGCTGTGTGTTATGAATGATGCACGATGTTCCATATTCATGCCAACCACTTCAATAAAAGTTTAAACCTAAAATAACGAAACGATAGAACGATAGCAATATATATATTTTTTTCTGTTTATCTGGAGTCAGGGCGCAGGGGCAGCAGCCTATGCAGAGAAGCCCAGACCTTGCTCTCGCCTGCAACCTGATCCGCTTAATCTGAGGAACGTTGTACCATTCCTAGGCCATCCGATAGATATAATCTCTCCAGCATATCTGGTGCCTCCTCTCAGCAAGACATGCCCGGTCACCCAGAAACTGCCCGCTTTTCCTTTCGATGTGGAGTAGCAGCGGCTCTGAGCCCATCCTGAATGGCTGAACTTCTCACTCTATTGCTCAGGGAAAAACCATGCACCCCTAAGTGAAAGTCAATTTCCGCCGCTTGTATCCACGATTTTGTGCTTTTAACTTTAAAAGGACTAACAATATTTGTGTTAATAATAAGATCAGTCCCAAGATTGGTGCATTCATGCTGTTTCTCAACAATGATCCTCTATCTGATGGCAGATGGCTGCATAACATTTGGGACACAGCAATTAATCGGCATTGGATATCAATTCAAATGTTTTTGGCTCTCATGGACACCACAGGCCTTTTTTTAAATTTTTACTCAGTGGTAGTGAGGAACCTGCTGTAGCTGCCCACTTGGAATTACCACTCGTGACGCAGAGAGCTTCGACTGATGCAACTTTATTCTCTCCTCTTTAAACCACC